ACCAAACATTAGTCCGGTCGCGTTGCGATAGCACATCGTTCAGGAGGAACAACTGGTAATGTGCCCAGGTGAGGCCCACCTTATTTGTACGCTCCTTATCTTTTCTCTAGAGCTCTCTCGTGCACTCGTTCTTCCCTCTTTTCTTCCCATCGAGAGCACACCTCCATTGCTCCCCTAGGTGCTGCTACGAGGGGCTTTCTTCAGCTTGACCCCCCCCCCTCTCTCTCTTTGAAACTGGGTGAGCATGGTGACCACAGGGCGGCAAGGACAGGGCAAATGTTGCTTCGAGGAACAATCGATGTCGCAGTTTTTTTTTCTACATGCTTCAACCGGCGTCACAAATTGCTACAACCAGCACTACGTTTTGCTACATCACACAAAACCGGCATCATGGTTTTTGCTACAATCGGTGTCACGACCTGCTTCAATCATGCTGTGAATTGCTAAAACTTGCAGCACGACAAGCTGCAACCCGTAGCGCGCGAGCTGCGTTGGTTCTACGGCGAGACATTTTTTTTGCTGCAACCAACGTAAAATTTTTGCTACTACCATTGTCCATTTGCTACATCATTAATGATGATGCTGAACACATGACATCAGCGACATAATTTGTTACCGCCATTTTTTTTGCGGTGACCGACGACGGAAACTGAGAAAAGCTACAATCAACAACGAGAAAGCTTCAACAAACTTCTGAAAAGCTTGAAGGAGAGGATGATGAGCTGACAATAGTGACGGCAACGGCAACAGCTGCTGTCAACACAGGGGCACTACAGTGGGTACACGACAAGCCGCAAGGCCATCCGATGATTGTGGCGAGCGGCTAGCGGCGGTCTTTGCTGCCTTCAATCGCACGGCTGCAAGGCGACCGACCGAAATTTTGGCTTGCATCTTAGACTAGCCACAGTGAAAAGTAACCTACGCTAGTAACCTGTGGCGGAGCTTCATTGAATTAGTTGGGTGGGTCAGCCCAAAGAAAAAGGCATAGAAAAGAGATGGGCCAGGTCAGTTGTTAGGCTAATTAGGCAGTGTTACACCTGAGATGGGCGGGCCGGAGCACGGGTTGGTCCCAACGTAGCTCCGCCACTGCTAATAACATACATATATCCCTAGACTATATTACTATCTTCATAATGAGTAGTAACATAAGTGTGGTGTCATGCAAAACTTCATTTATTAGGTTATAGACTTATATTGCATTTTTACATGTGATGTTATAGTAACTAGCTAAGTTACTCATTCCATTTGAGTAAGCCTCTGATGCCCTGCGCACATAGCTTCTTGCATGCCCGATGGCAGGACAGATCTCCCAACCTGGAGTATATTCCCGGCCCCGTAGCTTAGCTTAAGATCTTCGTATTTCAAGTCCACCGGCATGGGACCTGACCTTGGGAATAAGCCCCGCCCTGTCCTCTAAGATATGAGATCCACCCACACCCAAACCTGGAAAAGCGGAGTTAGACTCAATGTTACTGCTGAAGTTACTCCCATCTCTGGCTAGTCTTATCACCTGTTAAAAAAAAGGCGCAGAAGAAGCCAGCACTTGAACCGTTGGTCGTAACACTTCCTCATAAATCCGTCGTTTTTCGTGTCTGTGGACCTGCTCGACTCCGCGTGGAAGAGATGATACTGGGAGGATCGACCTGCTGCTGCTTCACCCAGCTGCATCCCGCCGCCACCGCCGCCAGGCTGCGCTTGCCGCCGGCTCGCGCCGCGAACACCTCCTCCGAGCCGGCCGCCGCGCGTCTGAGGGCGGTGCTCGAGCAGGTGGACGACGAGCTGCGGAAGGGGAACGACGAGGCCGCGCTGTCCCTCGTGCGCGGCTCGCAGGGGGAGGGCGGCGGGCTCCGGTGCTTTGGCGCCGCGAGGCAGGTTGGTGTTCTCCTGATGCTGCGTATCATTCCTCGAGGCCTCGTCTTGCCTTTGCTCTCAACGCAATTGTTCACGTCCGATCGTCTCCGAATTAGAATGGGGATGAACTGATGAACAGAGGGTGTGAGTCAATAGATGTGAAAGATGTTAATGATTTTTTTCAGAGATGATTTTACTTGTCTATACCACTACTAGGTATGTGCCCGTGCGTTGCTACGGGAGCCAAATCTTGTAATTATGATGATTGCAATTTTTAAGGGAAGGTGTAACGTCTCGGGCATATAATTATGATGATTGCAATTTTTTAAAGGGAAGGTGCGACGTCCATTTGGTCATGTAATTATGGTGATTGAATCGAACCGTCACTTGCGAACCGGGGAAAAAAGATGGGGTGGATGGACGAAGGTGGACAGAACATGGTCCGTCGGCAGGAAAAGGAACCTTAGGTTCTTTTTAGATAGTATAGTAGAGATATAGTAACTTTGAATATTGGCTGTTGGGTGAAGGCAATCCTGCGGTAGAGAATTGGCAAATCTGAGCATTGTTGGCCATTGGATATCCTCTTCACCACACTAGATTCTGACACGTGTACTATCTAGATGACTCCATGGCTAAGGTTAAGCACAATGCACTATATACACAAAACTAAAAACATAGACGTCTCTCTTTTGTTCTAGAATCTTCCGGACTTTCTGCTAACTCTTTTCTTCTAAATGAATTGTCATTCCTTTTCTCTAAGCACATGTGTTTCACATTTATTTTAGATTCTTCCATATTTTAGTTGTCTAAGTATTTTTTTGGCTCTAAAAGAACTGCCATTCATTTTTTACTTTATTTTATCTTTTCTTCAAGACTCTCATAGTACTTCCATAAATTTAATTTTGACTGGGATGGACTACAAGGACTAAATCTGCATCTTATACTTCATACATATGTGACTAAATTTACATGTTTACCTGTTATAATGTGATATGTCAATATTTAATCATACTTTGGTTATCTAAGCCTGACGTACAATGCACGTGTACCTTACCAGTATGTTTAGTGTGCAGTTTATTCGTAGTTTGGTTGACGTAATGATCAGTTGCATATGCTTTAAGTTTAGAACCACCATGATTTTGGATAGTTTCAAACTTAAAACAAATGTGTGGAGTACTATAGGGCTGTTTTGTTGGACGGAATTAGTAAGAGGTTTTACGGCCCATGATTTGGATATTGGGCATGGGAATTTGAGGTTCCAAATCTTACAGAAAAAATTCCGAAGCCTTGTCACGTAGCAGGGGCCTCCTGCATCTGCATACCAAAAAAAAAAAGAACTGATCCTTTTTTACGAGGGAAACCGAACCTAGAAACCACACAAGGCTAGGTTTATTACAGAAAACCGAGTGAAAACTACCACAACTCCATGGGCCGTGGCCACACCACCTACCCATCGCCTATAAAGTCCGATCTAGATTTTTTTCCCATCACTGTACGGAGGGCATTTGCGAATATTTCTACACCGTAGAGTATATTCAAATTACATGGAAAAACTATTGATGGTGTCTGGTGCCAGTCTGCTACATATTTGGCTAGCAAACAATGCAACTTTAAACTAAATTGACTGACGACAATGCAGCTTTGCTAGTATTTACTAGCAAACGGAGCAACTTTTAAAAAAATGTTACAGTTACTTTAATGGTGATAAACCAATGTGAACAATCTGCATGAATGTACGATAAGAATATTTTCATGCTATCATTTATCCAAACTAATGCTCGAAATATTCTCCACCATTGCATGGCAGGCAACTGCAAGTATTTCTATGTTGAAGGTTATATTCAAAACAATTACATGGAAAAACTGTTGTTGATCTTTAGTGCCAGTGCACATATTTGACAAGCAAACACTTCAACTTTGCTCCTTTGTGCTGTGTCATTTCCACCTGTTAGAATGTGCTACATTTTGATAAGGAAGAAAGTGAAGCTTTACCTTTATCCTTTTTTTAGAATGTTATGTAGCATACTAACTCTGCTGTTTTATACCAAAATCTCTATTAGGTACCTCAAAGGCTTTATAAACTAGATGAGCTTAAGCTAAATGGGATTGATACTTCTTCTTTCCTATCTCCTGTGGATCAGACTTTGGGATCAATTGAGAGAAATCTCCAAATTGCCGCGCTTCTTGGAGGTCTTTCTGTTTCATTTGCGTTTGAGCTTTCTCAACTCCAAGCTCTGCTTACCTTTGTCGGCCTACTATTCGTGTGGTCTGTTGATTTGGTGAGTTACTATTTACTTGACTACTCGGCCTTGTAGATCATCAGTTACATATCTTGTTGCTAACCATTTACTTGACTACTCGGCCTTGCGTATCATTTGTTACATGTCTTGTTGCTGACTGGCTGTTGAACTGTTACTATTCGCGTGGTGTTGTTATTTCAAAGCATATGCTTGGGCCATGTGTGCTTTGTGGCTACCTTTTTGCAGTTTTTAACAACAATCTTTAACTTTTTATCTCCATCTCTTGGAGGAAACTCAATTATCAAAGGTAGTGAATAGATATTCTCTGCAGTACCGATCTGATCATCTTGTTGTGTGCTTCTTTGGTGCCAATGACCTTGAGTTTTTGTTCAATTTCGAATAAGCAGTCCTATTAGTTTGCATTCATACACATCCAACATCATAGCTTCCTAGTATGTTTCTTGGAAGTGTGGTTGATTCAGCTAAGTTTATACGTACTTGCAGCCATCACTTAGAGAAAAATCCATATAAAAATAATGTACTCCCTCCGTCCCATAATATAAGACATTTTTTTACACCACACTAGTGTCAAAAAACATCTTACATTATAGACAGAGGGAGTAGAACATTAGTCCTAAATTTTCCCACGGAAATGGTATAATCACTTGAGTCAGCCATCTGTTGCTTGAACTTACATGGCTACAGCTTTCTAGATATATTACAATGGAGGGGGGAGAAACTTGGTTCTTGACACAATTGCTCACAGTCTCAGCGAGAAGTACCACAACAGAGTTATTGAGGTATACAAACCACAATTTCAATAATATTCCATACTCGAACAAAATTTCAATAATATTCCATTCTTGAACAAACTTTCAATATATGCCATTCTTGAACAATGCGAGCAATCATAATTCTAAACAATTAATATCCTATATATGGAATATGTGAAGCATGAAGCTGGTCACTTCTTGATAGCATACTTGCTTGGAGTGCTTCCGAAGGAATATACTATCACATGTTTAGATACACTTATGAAACAAGGATCACTGAACGTGCAAGCTGGGACAGCTTTTGTGGATTTTGAGTTTGTTGAAGAGGTTAGTTTTCTAACTCAATTCTTAATATTGTAATAATCTTTGAAGTATCTTATGTATGCACCAGTCTAATGGTTATTTCCATTTTCAGATCAATACAGGCAAATTGTCTGCGAAGGTGAGAGTCTCTAAATTATTGTTTTTTTGCAAAGCACGCAAAAATGATGTAATATGTTATTCATTGTTTGTCATGGTCTAGTTTCAAATCCCGGCAAAAAATAAAGGTCTAATTCCAACTGAAAATCGGCATCGGCGTCAGAACTCAGAGCTGCCACAATGAATATACTGATTATATGCTTTCACCGAAGTTAAACTGAGATCTAATTAAACTAGTGTTGGATCATTGAAAATATGGATAAGTTTTATTGATATAAAAACACACAGTAGGCAACTAGTAATCCCCATTCCAAAGCTCTCTGCTTGGTTTACTTCGACCTAAACTGACTGCCATTTTAACACATAATTAGCATATTCTGGGAAGGGCGCAATTATTGCCACCCCATGAACTACTGCTTCTTCAGTGAATAGATATGTACAAAATCACAAGGTATTACACAATTTATTGTCTCCCGATAGCAATTCAGATTTGTGATTGACCTGGCAATAAGTTGGATCTAATGGCAGATGCTGAACAAGTTCTCATGTATTGCACTGGCCGGAGTAGCAACCGAGTATCTTCTGTATGGATACGCCGAAGGAGGACTAGATGACGTTAACAAGGTTTTCCGGCATTTAGTTTACTTACGTTCTAAGTTGACAAAACATCATGTAACCCAATCCTCTAATTATCTGCTCTGCACTTTCGTGTTTCTTCCATTAACAGCTGGATGGACTGTTCAAGAGCCTGGGATTCACCCAGAACAAAGCTGATTCACAGGTGAGGTGGGCTGTGCTAAACATCGTTCTGATCCTGCGCCGCCATGAAAAAGCTAGATCGAAGCTTAAGGAGGCAATGTCTTCTGGGAGGTCAGTTGGATCTTGCATCGAGGTCATAGAAGAGAACATAAACCCCGAGGATATTTGATAGCTGGTGGGAACTCTGAACACTGAAGACAGTGCACACTGGTGCTGGACCATACAGATTGCAGCGGTATAAACCTTTGTGGTGTATTTGTCTTTGTACTGTATATTCAGTTTGTAATTTGACAATGGAGGCTGAGTCTACAATTTTTTGGCCTCGACTACAACGCAGAAACACAGTTGGTAATCGGTGCGACGCTGTAACCCCCCAAAGCATTAACCAAACGGAGGTTGGACTTGATTTTCAGATAACAATTCTAATGTAGTACAGTTCCGTTGACACCCGGAAATGTTTGAATTGAAGTTAATCGCCAATTCTACTTCTCATGGGACTGCAAAATGGTGGTGGTGAATTCCATTTTATCTATGGTTTAAGGTGTTTTCAGTGTAGACTGTGTTGCAGTGACAACAATAGTAGTAGACAATAATTTGGGTATCTGTGTTGCAGTGACAAAAATAGTAGGCAAAAATTTGTGCTCTTAGCCTCACCATTTTCGGATTGGTGAGCAGAAGATGGGGGAAATAATAACGTACAACAAAGGGGCAACCATAGTACAGAAGCAGCGGAGCAATGATCATTTTCTAAATTTCTAAATGTTAATGTTCTTATCCTATATTATTATGCAAAGAATAGACATGAAATATGTTTGTTGAACGTTCGGTTTTTAGTCGCTGTGTGGCAAGCTGCACACCATCAAATGCGCCGTAATCTGTTGCTTGATGTGGCACGTCCTGCATGATCATTGTTGTAGCTGAACCACCAGGGCGTCGCGCTTCACATAAATCGCAGGGACATGGCGCATCGAAGAATAAATTGTATAACAGCACATGATTTGGAAACCTTTTAGATTCTATACCATTTCTTGTGGTGTATGTAGTCTCTGTATGCTGAATCAGGTACGTAACTGAGCATGCATCCTAATCCTGATCATGGCATTGGAGAAGGCTCCTTTGAGCACTTCGGCAGGTTGAATTGTACTCTTCGCTCCGCAAAGTCTGGTGGCCGCTGGTATACAACTGAAGCCGCATGAATCAAGATGCCGGCAGTCAGACCCCAGATTACATACGTCTTGTCACCTTTCTCATAATCAAAGTGGTGAAGTGTGAACGCCTGCCCCATCCATTCTCGCTCCTCAGATCTCCTGCGCTCATCCTGACAAAGGGATCCAAGGGAAAACGGCTTTCAGTACATTCTAAGATTTCAAGAAAAAAATAAGAAATTTCTTGTGCCACTACTGCTGCGTAAGATCTATCATAGTTAGCTACTATGGCTAAGTATTTTTCAGTATACATATTATTGTAGCACAATACGTCACACAGCATGGTAATTCATGTGGTTCACTTCTTTCCAGTTGACTGGTCATTTTCACGGTAAATTGCAAATATCATGAACATGCAACCCAGGCTTACATAAGTACCATAGCCTAAAAGCCTAAATAAAGATTGTATATAGCCCATTAATTAGCATGTGAAAACATACTGATAGCACTGACCTTGAGGAACATCTCTAGGGGTACATCAAAAATGTCGTCCACCTCATCAACATTAAGGACAGGTTTGAAAGCCTGTATATCTGAGAGTATGCCAACAACAGGAACAACTACCAGAAGATGCTGCCAAAGAAATGGAGAATATTAATCTGATGGAAGTCTATCACTTCAAAACACCAAAACGGTGAGAGGGCACGAGACAAAACAAAGGGAGCTCCTGGCCTAAGGCCTATGTCTTAGCCATTTTACTACAATGAATTCAGTGATAAAACCAGGCTTCCTCTGCAGCAGGTGATATGCATTTCAATTCTATATTATTCATCGATAAATTAGCATTATTTTCTTCTATATATTTCACATAAACGTCATGTAATGAAATGGCAGAATTAAAGTAATCTTCAGAGGCATGTGACAAGTGCGGTGAAAGGCAACATGTGTTACATAACATCAAAAACAGTGCCTAGATTGTAACGCAATCCTTAGTGCAATCAATTCCTAAACAAGACCATTAAGAATGCAAAAATGATCACGTGCACCACCTTGAAAAGCAAAAGATAACATATACGACCTAAACAAGCTGCCTAGCCCCAAGTTAAATTGTGGTACACTTTTGGTCCATTTCAAATTAGTCAATTTTTCATCTTTCAGATTAATGTTTCACTTGCTATGCAACTTTCCAAGAGAGCTCGTGACATTAATTTTGAGATATGAAAAGGACAAAAAGATAACATTCTATTCGACAAAAGAGGACTGTAAAGAACAGCCTGCTACATGACCCTCAAGACATCTATAAGTAATAAGCATATCCTAAATCTTAGCTGCATGCATGCGTTTTTTCGAAGTCTAAGAAGAAGGAAAAAAACTAGCATGCCTTTCAGTGATGCACTTAAATAATCTGTCCTGCTGTACGATGTGATCTTTTTAGTAGGGGTATAAGCGAGAACCCATAGACATTTTACCTTGGACAAGAAGTGCTCAAGCGAGGAGACGACAGTGACCAAGGTTGGATCAAGCCCAATCTCCTCCTTTGCCTCCCTTAATGCCGTTGCTGCATCATCAGCATCACCCTCCTCTGCCTTTCCTCCGGGCAATGCAACCTCCCCTGCAAATCTCAATTGGGGAAAACAAAATCAGACAGGGTTTATCAAGCTCGTGTCTGGGTTGGCATCCATTTGTTAACCTGATTGTTCAAATATAAAAGCTAAGACAAGCCAAACCAGCGCTGAACAGAGAGCTAGGTTAAAAATCTAAATTTTCTTGTAAGAATATTGGGTATTCGTAGGAACCTTTAGATTTTTGCAGTATATTATGGAACTTGTAGCCTTTTCTGGGGGAAAATTTTCATATACACTAAAATGTATCAAATGGCGACTATTAAATTAGAATGATGTAGAATGCATATTTACCAAGGGACTATCAGATTTTATATACCAAGGGATTTCTCCAAATCGCTCCGCGCTGACCAAAACCTCAAGACCAGCATACGTGTGCTTAGCCCATGTACATAACAAGTTCTGAATATAGGCCACTGTACTTACCTGGTCTAATAAGAGACAAAACATCATGGTAGCATAAACTAACTGAACACCATGGTAGCATACCTACTCGCAAGGAATAATTTTTAAGAGCTTGCTAGAAGAACCGGGAGCCAATGAATTAAGATTGATGATAAACAACAGTCGTTACACACAGTTTACTATATTAAAACCCGTATGGGCTCAGCAGTACAAACATCTGAATTCTGAATGCTGCTAAACACCAACGCTTTCTACTAGATTCTGCTTCAACTTCCAACCAGAAGCCGAATTCTTCACTTGAATTCCCCTTGATAAAATTCGGAGAAGTACAAAAGCGAAATAGCAATTCAGACACCTATGGGCCGTAAAATGGAACCTGAAAGCGAAATGTAGGATGCTTCAGCCCCTGAACCCCAACTTGCGCATACACCGACATTCCCCTAAATTTTTTTACCGGGGCGCCACGATTCGGATCGATCAAAAGCTGCCACGAAGAAGCGAGCGAGCTGCTCACCGGAGTGGGTGGAGAGTGAGGAAGCGCGCTTGGTGAGGAGGACACGCAGCTCGCCGGCAGCGTCGTGGAAGAGGCAGACCAGCACGGCGGCTCTCCGCGGCTGAAACAGGTTGGCTGCGGCGGGGGTCGCCGCTGTGGAGGGATCGCCGGAGTAAGGGGAGGGAGGCGCCTGGTGGAGCCTAAGCCGTCGGATGAGAGCCTCGATGCTCGTGCGCTCCTTCTCCATGGAAGCTTTGAGGGATAGATCGGAGGTGTTGGGCCGCTTGAGCTTGCTGCTTTTTTTCCTCACAAAAACCCGCAGCGCGTTTGGTTGTTTAAGGGAGGGATTGGGAATTTATGAGAGGGAGTTGTATGAGGGATTATGCTTGGCAAGTGGACTATTAGTTCTAATCCCACGTTTGGTGTGGGGTGAGAATTATATGTGGGAATAATTCTAATGAACAATGGAGAAAGAAGGAGACACACAAATGTTGAAACAAAATCGTAACATGTGAAGGCAAAAAAAAGAGTAGAAAAGGGAAATAGATATGCATCGGTTTGTGAAGGAAAGATAAACGAATCAAACTTTATTACGTAGCAAAATCAGATGGGCTACACGCTGCTGGCTGCCCCTCTTGCATGAGATGTGCTTGTGCTTGGCATTGCATCTGCAGATTAGTAAACAGTTAGAGCTGGCCGATTTATTTGGAGGAAAAATGATGTCGCTGCAAGTAGGATTTCCGTGGAGTTTTTTTCTTTCTTTGTGGGAGGTGGGCCAATAAATCTGTAACAATTTTCTTCCAGGCGCCAACTCCCATTCCTTTGCGGAATTACCAGGGTCCCTCCAAGGAAGAGATTGATGGGAGTTGGGCCTCCTAATTCCCCTTCCCCTTACCTTGTTAATTCCCAAGTCCATGAACCAATCAAGAGATTTTTAGACCCAGCCACCTTAAATTCCCATTCCCTAGCTCCAACTCCCCCCAAACAAACAGGCTGACGAAACACAAGCGAGCACTAATCCAACACACATGAAAAAAATTGCTAGATGTAAAATTTACATCATTATACATCATTAAAAAACACCAAACTCCAAAAACTAGTGCTCCAATAGATGATGTAAAACTAGTTCAACTACTACATCATTGCAAACATAATTCAAACATAGCAAATTCATTTGAAGCAAACACAGTTTAAACTATTTTTTTGTTTTGGAAATGGAGACGTACCCTCGGCCTCTGCATCATAATGATGCATGCAACAATCTTATTAATAATTCACGAAGTAGCATAAAGTCATAAAAGTATTACAGCTCGCAAGTGGAGCGAAACAAAATAAAAAATAAAAGTACATGCTGACAATCACAACTGATACTGCAATATGAAGGATAATCTTCCTAGACTCCTATCCTATTATGCGACCGCCATCCGAACCGGTTGAATATAGCCCGTGCTACCATCTCCAACTGGTTGCATCCAGTAACCAAAGGCTCCCTGGAGTCCATAGGAGTAAGGACCACGCACGGATCCATGCGGTAGCTCTGAAGATAACCTGCAAGAAAGTTAAAGTGTGTTGTCTGTTAAAAATCATACCATTCCTACAGTTCCATATAACCCACATAAGTGCACATATTCCAATCCGAATACAAGCGGCGGTAGTATGCTCAACCCTAGCTAACCACGTTCCAAACAACGACTCAATGTCAACCGGAGGATTAATGTTGAAGACTATATGAATCGTTCTCCAAAGCAATTTGGCGAGTGGACATTCAAGGAATAAATATTGTATTGTTTCATCATGATCACAAAAACAACACCGCGAACTACCTACTCATCGCCTCTTGATTAAGTTGTCCTTGGTGAGTATTACTTACTTGTGAACGAACCACATAAAGATTTTAATACGCAAGGAGACCTTAACCCTCCAAATATGCAACGATCTTGAGATTGGACCAGAATTAATCAAATCCATATAAAAAGATTTCACCGTAAACACCCCATTTTTGGCTAATTTTCATTGCGTCGAATCGGGCTGGTCGGAGAGTTGAACATCTATCAATCTCCGAACCAAGTGCATCCAGGCAGTCCATCGCTCATCAACTAACGCACGTCTGAACTGAATATTCAAGGGAGTCATTTGAAAAACTGCGCCTACGTAATCCTCCTTACATTGCACAATGTTATAAAGGGTGGGATATTGTACGGCCAGAGGCATCTCTCCTAACCACGTATCCTTCCAAAATCTTGTTGACATCCCATTACCAACCAAGAATTTGACCCTACGAAAGAACAAGTCCTTCGTTCTCATAAGTCCCTTCCAAAATGGCGAGTCAGTTGGTCTCATGGTAATTTGGGTGACCGTTTTCGACTATAAATACTTATTGCGCAGAATTTGTGCCCACATGCCCTCTGACTCTATCTCTAACCTGTAGAGCCATTTGCTCATAAAGCATTTATTCTTAATTTCTAAGTTCTCAATGTTGGGGAACACAGTATTTCAAAAAATTTCCTACGATCATGCAAGATCTATCTAGGAGATGCATAGCAACGAGAGGGGAGAGTGTGTCTACGTACCCTCGTAGACCGAAAGCGGAAGCGTTAAGTAACGCGGTTGATGTAGTCGAACGTCTTCGCGATCCAACCGATCAAGTACCGAACGCACGGCACCTCCGCGATCTGCACACATTCAGCTCGGTGACGTCCCTCGAACTCTAGATCCAGCTGAGGCCGAGGGAGAGTTTCGTCAGCACGATGGTGTGTTGATGGTGATGATGAAGTTACCGACGCAGGGCTTCGCCTAAGCACTACGACAATATGACCGAGGTGAAAATCTGTGGAGGGGGCACCGCACACGGCTAAAACAATTGTCAACTTGTGTGTTTTAGGGTGCCCCTGTCCCCGTATATAAAGGAGCAAGGGGGAGGCTGGCCGGCCCTATAGGGCGCGCCCAAGGGGGGCAATCCTACTCCTAGTAGGAGTTGGATTCCCCCCTTTCCTAGTCCTACTAGGAGAAGAAGGAAGGAGAGGGGAAGGAGAAGGAAGGAGGGGGCGCCGCCCCTCCCCCTAGTCCAATTTGGACTAGGACCATGGGGGGGGCAGCCCTTGGATGCTCCCTCTCTCTCCCTTAGGGCCCAATAAGGCCCATAACTCCCCTGGTGGTTCCGATAACCCTTCGGGCACTCCGATATTTATCCGATGACCCTCGAAACTATTCCGGTGTCCGAATATAGTCATCCAATATATCAATATTTATGTCTTGACCATTTCGAGACTCCTCATCATGTCCGTGATCTCATCCGAGACTCCGAACTACCTTCGGTACATCAAAACACATAAACTCATAATACAGATCGTCATCGAACGTTAAGCGTGCGGACCCTATGGGTTCGAGAACTATGTAGACATGACCGAGACTCATCTCGGTCAATAACCAATAGCGGAACCTGGATGCTCATATTGGTTCCTACATATTCTACGAAGATCTTTATCGGTCAAACTGCATAACAACACATGTTGTTTCCTTTGTCATCGGTATGTTACTTGCCCGAAATTCGATCGTCGGTATCATCATACCTAGTTCAATCTCGTTACCGGCAAGTCTATTTACTCGTTCCGTAATGCATCATCCCGTAACTAACTCATTAGTCACATTGCTTGCAAGGCTTATAATGATGTGCATTACCGAGAGGGCCCAGAGATACCTCTCCGATATTCGGAGTGACAAATCCTAATCTTGATCTATGCCAACTCAACAAACACCATTGGAGACACCTGTAGAGCATCTTTATAATCACCCATTTACGTTGTGACGTTTGATAGCACACTAAGTGTTCCTCCGGTATTCGGGAGTTGCATAATCTCATAGTCATAGGAACATGTATAAGTTATGAAGAAAGCAATAGCAATAAACTAAACGATCATAGTGCTAAGCTAACGGATGGGTCAAGTCAATCACATCATTCTCTAATGATGTGATCATGTTCATCAAATGACAACTCATGTCCATGGCTAGGAAACTTAACCATATTTGATTAACGAGCTAGTCAAGTAGAGACATACTAGTGACACTCTGTTTGTCTATGTATTCACACATGTACTAAGTTTCCGGTTAATACAATTCTAGCATGAATAATAAACATTTATCATGATATAAGGAAATATAAATAACAACTTTATTATTGCCTCTAGGGCATATTTCCTTCACTCAATACCAAGACCCCCTAGTCTTTTGGTCGGCAAAGGATATCCCATCGCGCGAGATGGTATTTCCTTTTGGCCTCATTAGACTGCCAGAAGAACCGAGATCTGAAGAAATCAAGTCACTTCCAAACCCCTTTCGGAATTTCGAAGAATGATAGCAGGAACATCGGCATACTAGTCAGTACCGAGTTAATCAACACTAGCCGACCTCCATATGACAAAAGCTTGCCCTTCCAGCAGCTAAGCTTTTTTTCAATTCGATATTTGATACACTTCCATTCTTTATTGGATAACTTACGGTCATGAATCGGTATGCCCAAATAACTAAATGGTAGAGAACCTAATTCACACCCGAATAATTGTCTATAAGTGTCTTGCTCGTCTTTGGCCTTCCCAAAGCAAAACAACTCGCTCTTGTGAAAGTTTATCTTTAAACCAGACAATAGTTTGAAGAGACATAAAATAAGTTTCATATTACGCACCTTAGCAATGTCATGTTCCATGAATAAGATAGTGTCGTCAGCATACTGTAAGATGGATACTCCTCCATCGACCAGGTGAGGAACTAACCCCTCCACATGACCATGCTGCTTGGCCCTGCCAATAAGAATGGCCAACATATCGGCCACTATATTAAACAAGAGAGGAGACATGGAATCCCCTTGTATCAACCCCTTGTGTGTCTGAAAGTAATGACCGATATCATCGTTAACCTTGATTCCGACACTACCCTTCTGGATTTGGGAACCCACTTGGTTCCGCCAGGCCTCACTAAATCCTTTCACGCGCATTGCCTGCTGGAGGAAAGGACACTTAACTTTATCATATGCCTTCTCAAAATCCACTTTGAAGATAACCCCATCTAGTTTCTTCGAGTGAATCTCATGTAGCGTTTCATGCAAAATGACCACCTCTTCAAGTATGTCTCGCCCTGGCATGAACGTTGTCTGGCTCGGTTGTACCACTGAATGAGCAATTTGTGTCAATCTGTTGGTACCAACCTTTGTGAATATTTTGAAACTCACGTTAAGAAGACATATGGGCCTGAATT